AAAAAAAAAAAGTGTATACTTTTTTGGCACCCTCTGTATATGTATATATCAGAATGATTTTGTAGTAGTGATGTTATATGAAATTTACTGTTAAACTACAATGATTTCACATCTACAAAGGATAATAAAACAAATATTTCTATCTAAAAGTTGTCTCAATCTCAAAAAATTCCAAGCAATTTTTCAATTTTACCCATTCCATGGCCTTCTTTACCCATATCCTTATTCATCTTTATTATACCCAGTGCCTGACCTAGTACCTGTCACATAGTAGGTGTTTAATAAATATTTGTGAAACAAATGAAGTCCATTCTTAATACTACACAGCCACAGAGGAAGGTGGGTTTAGACATAGCCTACCTCCGCAGAGCAGCCCTTTGTGTCTCACGCAGGAGAAATTGTCACACTGGCAGTAAGGCCCATAAATGTTTCCATAGGGAGACAAATGGCAGATGCACTGCCCGCAATAACAATCGCCTCTTCCACTGCATGAAGCGTGATTCGGAGCCTCCTTGCAGGAATCTATACTCGGCACGTCCTCTCCGCACTCGCAGCGAGTACCCACGTGGCCAGGGTTGCAGGCACACACCCCACACTGGAAGGAGCCATTTCCGTTGTGGCATTTGGAGCTGTTCACTTCCACGTCCTTCTGACAGTCACAGTTGTATTCCGGAGTGACAAGTATTTCTAAGGCATCCCCCAGCCCTACAGGCTTTATGATAATGTGCCTGCTTCTTCTCTCACAGTTTGATATACTCACAGTCACGTTGAATGACGCCTGGAAAAGAAAATACTGATTATCTTCTTTTATCCACTGAATGGGTGGAAGCAAAGCCACATGGGGATCAGCTTTGCCAAAAGCATGTATTAGGACATCTTTGAAAATTGCTTTTGAAATGCTTGAAGGGAAAAGTTCAGCTTCACTGCATTAAGGTAACTTCTGACTTATCTGAATATTTTTTCAGACTATCTATTGGCCATCTACGTACCGTGTCTCCCACCTTCATGTGAGAGCATTTCTTTTGGTGTGGGAAGAGGGTCCTGTTGTTACAGATGGCTGTGAATGACAGGTTGAGTCCTTCTGTGTCTCCTAATACTTCCAGTTCCACCTCAGACCGTAGTTCCTTTAGTTAAGACATAAAGAGATAAATGAACTCTCAACCAAAAAATACAGCTGGATGGAGAATCTGAGAATCATGTTGATGAAGCTACAAATGACTAAAATTAAATTTCTTTTTCTGAAAGAGATTTACCATACCAGCAACCAAGCAAGCAAGCAAGACACACACACACACACACACACACACACACAATTGTATTTTCTCGAACCTAAGACGTCATTAATTATAAGACATCATTATTTTATGAAAAACTATGACAAAATATCTCAAGATCATTCTGCACAACATATGAATCAGTGTCATCAGTCTATCAGTGATTTGAAAATAATTTTATCCATTTTGAGGAAATTGGCCAATTCCCCAGCACTGAGCTGCACTGCTCAGCCTAGAAAAGGAAATTCTTTTGCTTGTACTAAGTAACAAAATGCAACAACAGCTTGCTTCTCTTGTAAGTATGATAATTTCCCAGGTCCCATAAAGCAGCTGGTTGTTGCTTTGCAAGGAATACAGAATTGCAGTCATTCCTCCAACAATGAATATTTGCTTCACTGATATCAAATTTATACCCAAATGCTTTGTTTTCGTACATTTCAGCATGTACAATAACTTTTCTTTTTAATATCAAGTCATAGTGCACTCTTTTGAAGATATATTAAAATGTCAATTATACTCAACACTTGTAGTACCAACAGAGCATTTAACAAGTTGAAGTGACAACACATAGCCGTGCAGTCAAGGCCAAATCCACACATGTGCAGGCAATGAGAGTTATTATACATTTTGACTTCCGCCTGGCTGACAGCATTTGTAAGGCACCATTAATTATAAAGTGTATCCCAGTTTTAAAAGTATTAAAATATGGGAGAAACTGTGCCTTGAAATCAATATTGGAATTTATTGAGTACCAATTGTACATTTAGTGTAGTGTCAAGTCTATGGGAATGGGTATAAGACTGGATTTCTGCTCTCAAGATGATTATCATCTTACTGAAAGAAACAAGATGGAACCAAGTGAAGCAGTTAACATACAAAGTCAGTCAATGTACCAATAAGATAAGAAAAAATGTATAATACAAATGAAGGTTTGGGACAGTTCAGAAAACAAGGTGGTCAGTGAAGGCTGGAGTGTTAGAAGACGGGTCCTTAAAGGCTGTGCTGGGTTTAGATGTGTGGAGGGGATGACAATGGTATTTCAGGTGACTGGAACCAGAAGAGAGAAAGTGCAGTGCCAGGAGTGGTATAGGACGAAGACAAGGAGGTTCAGATCAAGCCAACATGTCAACTGTCCTGGGAGACACCAGACAACAAAGAGCCCTGCAGTTTGGAGAGAGGAGCTGAGAACTCTAGGAAACATTTCTGGAAGCTTTTAAGCAGGGGCCCGATCTACAGAACATAAAGCTGCAAGGAAATTGTCTGGAGGGCGTGTTCAGAACAGACTAGTTGGAGGAACTAGGAAGATTTGAGTCAAGAAAGTTGGGATGCTGTTGCACTCACCCTGGCCTGAGGCCTGCGGATCAGGAACTAGGGGTGGTTAGTATATGTGATGGTAGATTGAAGGGAGAAAGACTAGACTTGAGGCATATAGGTTATGGCAGAAGGGGAGGTAAAGGCAAGGTTTTTCAGGAGGAAGAATGTCAAGAAAGGTGGAAGGGAAAGCTGTTTGTTTTTGGGGAAGCTAGTGTTATTATTCAGACTTTATCTGTTCCTCTTTCTTCTACAAAATCAAAGTCTGTTGACATTGCTCTTAGTAATACTTTTTTGGATATATCTCCTCTGGCAAGGGAAACAAAAGAAAAAATAAACAAATGGGACTACATCAAACTAAAAAGTTTTTGCACAGCAAAGAAAACCATCAACCAAAGTAAAAGACATGCTCCCAAATGGGAGAAGATATTTGCCAATGATATATCCAATAATGGGTTAATATCCAAAATATATAAAGAACTCATACAACTTAACACCAAAAAAAAACAAACAAACAATCTAATTAAAAACTGGGCAGAGAACCTGAAAAGACATTTCTTCAAAGAGGACATACAGATGGCCAATAGACATAAGAAAAGATGCTCAATGTCACTAATCACCAGAGAAATGCAACTTAAAACCACAATGAGAGATCACCTCACTCTTGTCAGAATGGCCATCATCAATAAATCAACAAACAAGTATTGGCAAGGATGTGGAGAAAAAAGAACCCTCATACACTGCTGATGGGATTGCAAATTGGTGCAGCCACTATGGAAAACAATGGTAGTTCCTAAAAAAATTAAAAATAGAACTACCTTATGACCCAGTAATTCCACTTCTGGGTATTTACCCCAAGAAATCCCAAACACGAATTCAAAAAGATATATGCATCCTTATGTTCATTGCAGCATTATTTACGATTGCCAAGATATGGATGCAAGCTAAGTATCCATCAATAGATGATTGGATAAAGAAGAAGTGGTACATACATACAATGGAATATTACTTGACCGTAAGAAAGAATGAAATCTTACCATTTGCAACAACATGGATGGGTATCATGTTACCATAATGCCTAAAGGGTATTATGTTAAATGAAATGTCAGAAAGAGGAAGACAAATACCATATGATTTTACTTACATGTAGAATCTAAAAAACAAACTTAAAAAAAAAGTTTCATAGATACAGAGAACTAACTGATGGTTGCCAGATGGGAAGGGGGTTGGTGAGCTGGGTGAAAAAGGTGATGGAGTTATAAGTACAAATTGACAGTTACAAAATAGACATGGGGATGTAAAGGACAGCATAGGGAATATAATTAATAATACTTTAATAACAAAGTCAGATGGGTACTAGACGTTTTGGGCACATCCCTTGTAAGTTATATAAATGTCTAACCACTTCACTGTATACCTGAAACTAATATAATATTGAATGTCAACTGTAGTTGAAAAAAAAATAATAAAAGTCTGTATTTGGGGTACAAAACCAAATTATTAAAAAAACAGAATATAAATAAATTAGAAAATATTATGAATTAAGTTATACTTCAGTTCATCTAAAGGGATTTGAGTCCTTATATTAACTTAATTGTGGGTATTTTAAAAGCATATTCAGCTTCAAATTTTCCTTGAGTACAATTTTGCTAACTGCATAGTAAGAGAACCTTGTCTTCCTCCAAATTCTAAGTGGCTGACTGTAAATTCTGACTCACTCCTCTTCCCTACGTTTTTTTTTTTTTTTTTAAAGATTTTTATTGGGGAATTGCGGGGAGGGGAACAGCGCTGGGGAATTGGGGGAAGGGGAACAGACAAGTTGCTGTCGTTTTTGTTCTTCAATCTAGTTGTGGAGGTCG